GCTCACGCTGCTTACACCCCCGCCGGGGCCCCGGGGAGAGGGGGGGAGGGGTGACAGTTGCGCCGGTTCCCATCCCCTGATGGACCTAACGCGCCGCCCCAAGCCCGTCATAATTTTTTGCTTCGTCCCCGAGGGAATCGTTTTAAAAGCCAAATCCTAGGGGTCGCTGCCGCTCGCCGTGTTCACGTTCACCCCCCTGTGGCCTATGCGGTCCGTGTAAGGGGCGCGCTCCTGCTCATTATTCGGAGCTTGTAATTATTTCACCCTTTTTGTTTTTACTCACCTTTTGCCGTTCCTCTCCTGGTCAGTTTTGTCAAAAACTCAACCATTATTTTTCTTTGTTGGTGTGTGTACGCTATCGCGTGAAAAGTATCTTTCGTCAATTTACAACATACTTTGTATTTACGGTTTTCGAAATATGGTGTGAATATACGACAGCTCATCCTTGCTTGTACGTGCTTGTCAATTAATTCTATGTCGATACATACAAAATTTTACAATTTTGTGTAGTAATAATTTAGCACACGCGTCTTATTGGAAAATTTTCCTGTAACCTTCGCAAAAATATCTTAGTGATATACAGAATCAGGTTTTTCTTCAAAATCTTACGCGAGTTATTTTTAACCAGCACAGTTGTGTACTGAACTCGAATTTATTTTTTATTTTTTTCGCTTTTCTCCAGATGACAAGTCGCCGCCCGTGGAGCAGGCCGGCGACGGCTACCTCAACTTCACCTCGGTGCGGAGGGACCATGCCGGCTGGTACAAGTGCACCTGCCGACACCTGCTCACCGAGTACTCCTCCAACGCGTACCTGCTGCAAGTGCGAGGTACGAGAAACCCATGCGCTTACGAGCGTATCTCTACAACGCACAAAGTTGTTGGGGAAAACATAAATTTAAACAATTACAACAAAATTATTACTTTTTAATTTTTCTTGAATTATTCTTGATGTTTTTTCTCTTGACCAACGAGTTATCCCATTTCGCACCGCCTCTTCAAATAAAACAAGCGTATAAAGCCCTTCCCCCACCCCGCCTCCTCTCGCGCACCATGTGTGTACGCACATTCACACACACACACACATACACACACACACACATCCAGCGGGTGTAGTGTTGCGGGTGGGTATGAAGGAAAAGAAATATGCGGTTTTGCGGTTTTGTAAAAGGGGGCGTATGTTCGTCATCTACGTCGTCGTCGGTTGTGTGTTGTGTGTGTGTGTGTGTGTGTGTATGCGAGCGCGCGCTGCGCGCCGCCCCCGGAAGATGTGTCTCGACTTGACGCTATGCCGCGTCGCTCTTCTGTTGCCCCTCTTTCCTCCTCTTTTGTCTGCGGCGGAGAATACAAACAACGCACATCATTTCCGTGAAATGCTACGACACGATGTCGGCCCCCATGATATTCGCCGACGTATAATCGCAGGCCAAAAGCATTATTTGTATTGTTTTACGATATGGGTACATGTGTAAAACGCACCGTTTTATGCGGGCCTGCTTTTTGAAAAATAGTCGTATGTTTCACGGGATAATTTGTCGTGAAGCAGGTCACAAAATCACAAATTCAAAATTTTGAATATCATACAAGGACTCGTATCGATTATTTGGAATTCTTCGACAAGCAAGATTGGGGTCATCGTAAATATACAACACGTACTTTTAAATCACTCTAAAGCTTTTACAAAGAATTTGTTCGTATATTGCAAAGAATTCTGTGCAACCGTAATATACAAGAAATTTCCTTGTATTACAAGAAATTTCCTTGTATTACACAAAAGTTTTCTTTGTATTACAATGATTTTTCTTTGTATTACAAAGAAAATTTACCTTTGTATTACGGTTGCACACAATTCTTTGTAATACAAGAATTTTCTTTGTAAGAATTTAAGAGTGATATTAAGTACGAAATATATATCGTTAGTTTACGAGGATGTTTTTCAGTATGGCTATACAAAAACAGTGTCTATCCTGAAAAAGTTATAAATGACAACAAATTTGAGATGGGTGCTGCGTCTTAGTTCTTCTCTGCGGTTTGCTTCAGCATATAAGCTTACTAAAAGTGCTAGAGCGCGTTGCTAGAAAATGATCAACTTTCTTGTCCTCCAAGAGGTTCTCTCTTCCTCCATTTTTTGTTGTTGTTGTTGTTTTGTTCCTTCCTCTTTCTACCCAGAGAGAGAGAGAGAGGTTGTTGTTGTTTTTTTGTTCCTTCCTCTTTCTACCCGTCTATGAACCTGCTTTTCCCACACAGCCCGTCCCGACGATAGCGTTTTTTTCCTAAACGTATAATTGGACACGACTCGCCACTCGCCCGGCGCACTCCTTATACCATGCGATGCGCCGGCGGGAGATTTTCTAATTGACTTCCCAGACACTTAATGCGCTGCCAGCACTGCCCGACCTGTCAGTCAAACTTAGGACGGGATCTAGTGCAGAGAGTAGTTCTCTCCTCTTGAAATTGGGTCAGCCGCCCGCCCCCTGCTGCAACCATCCCAATAATGCTCAGTGTCCACCGCGTTCTCTGCTGTCTGATGCGCATCCCTTTGCGGTAAACATGTCAATAAGCAGATCAGGTTATAGTATGTGGGGTATGATGCGGGTCTATCAGGTAGTTGATATATGCGTACTGTCGCGTATAGTTGAGCAATTCAAGCTGGGCAGGGATTTTTTTGTTTTCTGTCTGAATCCGCGGGTTGTGGTTGACATTTGACCACATCGCCATGACCTCTCCCCCGTTCGACCAGAGGGGTGCATAGAGAGAAGGCCGTGCCGTGAGTATGGTGAGCATACAGGTACCCCCTGCTGCAGAGCCGCACGTATTGTTCGGCTGCCCGGCAGCTGCAAATAACAACATTCGAGCATAGGTGCACACGCGCGCGACACAGTGTGTGTGTGTGTGTGAGAGAGAGAGAGAGAGAGAGAGAGAGAGAGGCAGAGAGGCAGAGAGAGAGAGGGGGGGGGGAGAATCATCTAATAGCCGCTCCCGTGCGCGTGGACCGTGCCAAATGCAGCGGGATCACCACTATGGGGCGGGGGGCGCTCGCTCGCAGCTTGCAGAGGGGCACACTAGGGGGAGGGGAA